TTACATCACCATTGATGAGCTGCAACAATCGTGCGTTGAACATGGGATGACCGATGTTTTTCTTGAAGATATAATCAAAGAAGTAGATCAAGACAACGTAAGCTTTGCCTCTTGACATGATTCTTCCATTCTTCATCATTGGTATTGGCTGATAAATTTTCGGTTTTTTTCTTTTTTCGATAGGATGGACGGATTGACTATGGAGAATTTGTTGCGATGATGCAAAAGGGAAATGCTGGTATCGGGAGAAGAACAATGAGAAATAGTCTAAATATCAGCATGAGAGATGTGTAAGCGCATACACAATGTCTTTAAACTGTTTGCTCAGTGAGGCTGCAAATGTTTCAATGGGAACAACATTGGCAACATTCAATCAGAGAGGACTCGGAAGAGAAACTAGATTCATAGCTGCTGCAGCGAGCCGGAAGTTTGTATTTAAAATGTGAAAACTATTGTACGATTAAAAATGGTGGATGAACAAAAAAGTGTTTTGTTCAGTTTTCGTCAGTAGCTATGAGGACTATTTCTGTTTTCTCTCTGTTTTGTTTGTTTGTAACAATTGTTTAAAGTGTGGTGAGCTTTGTTTCATCTCCATCGTTGCAAGATTTGAGCCTTTTTGGGTTTTTGAGAGACCAATCATCTTCCATTAGAGCACAAGTGTTATATAAGTTATATGACCTCTAAATCTTTCTGAGATCCTCTCTCTCACTTTCTTTTTGTCGTCTTTGATTCATACAGCACATTTCCGAATTAATTTGGATTACATCTATTACGTCAAATTCTAATTCATTTTCTCAGTAATTATTTTAGTAAAAGGATCATGTTGATAGTTTATACTACGAGGATATTTTTATGTTTCTATGAGGATCAGAAGTTTGAATATCTTTTATCTAGTGTACTAACCCAAGTTATAACTTTGGTGTTGAACTAAGTTTAACTAGGAAGCTGAGGATTTACATTACTCATACTAACTATAACGGTTAAACTCATTTTTATAACTAGGACGGGACATTTAGATAATCGGTTCATTTCGGTTCGGGTATTTCGATACTAGAGAAACATGTACTGATCGGGTACTTTTGATTTTGGTTCAGATTTAGTTTGATACTGTCTCAGCTATTTGTTTAGAGAGCCAAAATTTACTCGGTCTGATTCAGATCTATTATTTTGTACACAAAAGCACTCGAAGATATCCGAAATAACCAAAACGTTAACAAAGAACTTGTAAAAATTCAAATAATATTCTTAAATTGGTTATTTTTACTCGAACATATCCGCAAACATTCGAGCTAATCAAGTTAATCGAAAAAACAAATCGAAAAAACAAATAGGAATTGTAAAATTTACCCAAACTACCAAAACATACCTGCCCTAGAACATAAACTTCTTCATGTCAGTTTATGTTTCAAGATTATTTGGATACCTATTATGTTTTCGGTTCAGTTCTGGTTCATATTTAATTTTTTACCAACCTTACTTATAACAAAACAAAATAAAATTCAAAGACTTTTCCAAATAAATATGAATCTCAAACTCCCTAAAATTTATTATTCGGTGCATATTAATTAGGGTTTTATCATTAATCAAAAAGAAAATCTAGCTTTTGAGGAGATCCTACAGTAATTGAAACAATTAAATTTTACTAAAATAGATTTATTAGCTCATGAATTATTATAAGAGTTTTCTACAAATAAACCCGTTAAGTGGTTATGGTTTACGTTTTTATCCTCCAAGTCAATTAAATGCAGATCAACCCTTCAAGTAAGAGTCAATTCGCAATATAACCCTCGACCGTGTATAGAGTTTTATAATATGTATATTGCTGTGTATATCCTATCAATG